ACTCCTGGGTCTGAGGGAGGAGGGAGCTGGGGCCTGAACTCCTGGGTCTGAGGAAGGAGGTACTAGGGATTTGGACTCTTGGGTCTGAGGGAGGAGGGGATGGGGGCCTGGACTCTTGGGTCTGAGGGAGGAGGGAGCTGGGGCCTGGACTCCTGGGTCTGAGGGAGGAGGGGCTGGGGGCCTGGACTCCTGGTTCCCGAGGAAAGAGGGAGTTGGTGGGTACACACGTTTGTCTCACCGTTTTTGTGCTTGACTTTTTGCTGGAGATGTGGAAGGTGATCATGTCATCCCCCATGAAGATATAAGAAACACCATAACCATGCTCATCAGCCTGGTGTCAGAGAGAGTGAAGGGAAGAAAACAGCTCTGCTGCCCTCCTCCCCCACTACACAGGCGTGCCGGCCCCCAGCCCCCTCTTTCCTTAGCGTCTAGGGGCCGCGCCCCCAGCTCCACTCACAGGCCCGAATCCACCGCCCGAGGAAACATAGTCTGGGTAATTGTGGACGTCAAACAGGTGCATTTGCTGAACAGGGATCTGGCTGGTGGACAGCTGCCACTGCTCCGAATGGACCTTGAGGACACGAGACCATCACATGTGCGGGACAGAAATCTGCAGGTCTGGTCCTTGACTCTACTTCCCTGGGCCCTTCTCACCCCTAAATCCCGGCGACCTTCTCCCTGACCACGCCATCCTCATGGCCACACCCCTCTGGCCACGCCCCCTCTGGCCACACCCCCCTCTTCTCACCAACCGTCCCTCTCCCCTCCACAGACCACGCCCCTCCTACGACCACGCCCCTTCTGCCTAGCCCCTACTCTGGCCCTCTCCCCTTCGGCTCTGTTCCCTTCGCCTCTCTGCCTTCCGCCTTTCTTGCCCCTGCTCTCTCTGGCGTCTCTGCTGGTGCGTCCTTTTCCAACATCACCCTCCTTTTTTTTTTTTTTTTTTTTTGAGACAGAGTCTTGCCCTGTCCAGGCTGGAGTGCTGTGGTGCGACCTGGGCTTTCTGCAATCTCCACCTCCTGGGTTCAAGGGATTCTCCTGTCTCAGCCTCCCAAGTAGCTGGGATTACAGGCGCCCACCACCTAATGTGGTGGCCCCGCTAATTTTTGTATGTTTAGTAGACACGGGGTTTCACCCTGTTGGCCAGGCTAGTCTCCAACTCCTGACGTCCAGTGATCCGCCCACCTCGGCCTCTCAAAGTGCTGGGATTACAGGCGTAAGCCACTGCGCCCGGCCTTGATGCGCCCTTTTCCAACATCACCCTCCTTTCCTGAAGCCTCTCCCTTCTCCCACGGTCTCCCACCTCCCTCTCTAACCCTTTCCCTGTGCCCCAACCTGGGTCAGGAAGGGCGACTGCAGGTGGAGGAATCGGGACACGATGTAGAGCGCGAAGAGGTGGCGGTCCACTCCCTGCCCGCTCATGGCTGCCTTCAGCAGAGCCTGGTGCTTGTCCACTGCCATGCGGAACAGGGCGAGGCACTGTGGGTCCTGGGGTCCCCAGGTCATGGTCACAGGTCATGGAAAGACAGGAAGTCGACTTAGTGCTGGGCCCGCAGCATACTTGGCCTCAACCCAGCTTGCCACATCCCTGCAAGGTGGAAATATCAACCTCATTTTACAGATGGGGAACTGAGGCTTACAGAGGGGAAATCATGTGTCCAGGTTCACACAGCCAGGGGAGCCAGGAGGGTTCCTAGGTGTGTCTGACCCCAGAACCCAAACTCCTTCCACAGAACCACAGTACCTTGTAGGTGTGGGGTGAGGGCGCAGAGGTGCAGGGCAGGTGGGATCTGGGCAGAGAGGGTATGAGAAATGTCACAAAGGAAGGTCACAAGGTCACATAGAGGTTAAATGGGCAGAGTTACGTTGCAAAAATGGAGTCCTGGCCAGGCGCTGTGGCTCACGCCAGCACTTTGGGAGGCCGAGGTGGGGTGCTGGGGTGATCACCTGGGGTCAGGAGTTCGAGACCAGCCTGGCCAAAATGGTGAAATCCCATCTCTACAAAAAAACTAGCTGGGGATGGTGGCACGTGCCTGTAATCGTAGCTACTTGGGAGGTTGAGGCAGGAGAACTGCTTGAACCTGAGAGGTGGAGGTTGCAGTAAGCTAAGATCACACCACTGCACTCCAGCCTGGGTGACAGAGCAAGATTCTGTGTCAAAAAAAAAAAAAAAAAAAAAAAGAGAAAAAATAAA